TCAAACAGTCTTTTGACGGAGCCGTTAGTGACGGGCCTCTCACTCCGACGTGCATGTTACCAAGAAGTGAAGCATTTTTCATGTTTATTGGTTGTTTTTTCTTCTGTTAATTTGTTTCTATGATCTTTGCCTATTTATTATTGCGATCTGGGTGGGGTTTTTTTTATTGATTTGTATACTTTTTAACTTTGAAAAACTAAACAGACTTTATTTTTTAGAGTGGTTTTAGGTTTATAGAAAAGTTGGGGGCTCCTGAGAGCCCCTCTGCAGCCACCCTCCCTCCTGGCACAGTTCCCTTGTCACTGGAATTTATTTCTAATATTGTAAAAGTCACACGTACTTCCCATACAAGGGTTGGAACCCCCACCCATGGCCCAAGTGGCCCTGTTTTTGTGCAGCCAAGGGCAAAAAATGGTTTTTACACTTATACCTGTCTGAAAGAAAATCAAATTGTGACCTGGGAAAATGATAGGAAATTCAGATTTTAGTGGCCACACATAAGTTTTTTTCTTGAAGAGGGCAGGTAAGTAGGGTCTTATTGATTGATTTATTTTAGTGGAGGCACTGGGGCCTGAACCCAGGACCTCGGGCATGCTAAGCATGTGCTCTACCACTGAGCTATACCCTCCCCCCCGACACATGATGTTTGGTTTGAACACCTTTGCTTTCAGGCTGCAATGGTGGGGCCCAGGCATTGGGAGAAATGGCCGTGGCCTGCAAAGCCTAGAGCATTTGCCGTCCAGCCCTTAACAGAAAGTGCACAGACCCCCGCTGGAGACTGGCAGGCAGGTCGGAATCATCCAGAGATAACACTGTGGGCGTTCACGTGAGGGGTTTCCTGCTGGCTTTTGTTCCTGGGTGGCCCTGCCTGTCAGACGCAGGTAGGCTCAGCTGCTCAGCTTTCTGCACGCGGAAGGTCTTCAGGGAAGAGTCATGGCCTGCGGGACAACTCCAACTTTCGGGGGGCACTCAGCCTCTGAGCTCAGATCAGATCCCTGGGGTAGGGGGCAGTTGAGGGTCAGCCCTGTTCCTGCCCACTGGGCTGCAGGGCAGTCCCTTCTGTCTGGAGTTCCCTCCCTTGAACCTGTCCTTCTGTGGCATCTTTCCCCTTGCCCTCTGCTCCCCACCTGTTGGGAGTTGAATTGTGTTCCCTGCAAAAGACATGTTCAAGTCCCAACCACGAGAACCTGTGAATGTGACCTTATTTGGAAGTAGGTTCTTTGCAGGTGTAACCAGGTTAAAATGAGGTCCTTCTGGGTTAGGATGGGCCCTAAGCCCAGTGACTGGTCATCTTACAAGAGGGAGATTTGGACACAGACACGCAGGGGAGGAGGTCGTGTGAAGACGGAGGCAGAGATTGGATGGATGCAGCCACAAACCAAGGAATGGCAGGGATTGCCGGCAGCCACCTGAAGCTGGGAGAGGCAGGAAAGACTCTCCCCAGAGCCTTCAGAGAGAGCACAGCCCTGCCCACACCTTGATTTCTGATTTCTGGCCTCTGGGACAGTGAGGGAATCAGTCTCTGCTGATACAAGCCACCCAGTTAGTTTGTGGTGATGAGTTCCTGCAACGCAATGCTTTCCTGCGTCTCCTTGTCTGTGTGCTCATGGGCCTGGCACAGGGACGCTGCCCTGTGATGGACGGTGGCTTGGTCTGGATGGATGTGGGGAGGGAGGGAGGGTGTTGAACTGGATGTGTCCGTGGCATTGGGCCATCCTTCCAGGCTGCTTTTCCGCTTTGGGGAGAGCACTCTGCCAGGAAAGCTGTGCCCCGTGCCCTGCGCTCGGCCCTGAGGCAGGGATGCTCCCCTCTTTCCTGCGCGCGCGCATGTGAGCAGCGGGGAAGGGGAGGGGTCAGGAGCCCGCCTGGAGGAGGCTCCAGGGACCGCTGCCTGGCCAGCGGGGGAAGGTTTCACTTTTCTTTGGCAGCACTGTGGGGCAGGCTATTTGTTGAAACAACCCCAAAGAAAACCATTTGACCAAACTGTTAGTTTCTAAACAGTTTCCTTCCCTGATGTTTAAACAAACTTCTCTCCAGGCTCTGTGTCTGGTCCCAGGGAGGGGGTTGGCCTCTCCGGTCATGGCCCTGCATGACCCGAGGCCAGGCTGCGCTTGGAGCTCGTTACCGACACCCCTGCGGCTGTGCCCGCTGGCCTGGCCCTGGACAGAGTGCCCCACGGCCCCTGCTGGGCACCGCCAGCTCAGACCTTCAGGCAGCCGGGCCGGCCGTGGCCCTCTCCCGGGGGTCAGGTCTCTGCGTTTTTCTCAACAAAGCTTAAGTAAAAACCTCAAAGGCTCTCAGCCTTGGGGGTATCAGAGACCCACCCTTTGGGGTCAGTTAACACGGACACACTTATCCCAGCATTTAATTACTGCCTCAGCTAGAGATGGGACTTTGAGGGATGCTGATAATGGGGTGCCCTGATGGTGGGGTGTGCTCGAGGCTTTGTACTGCCCTGGTTTCCAGAGCGCCGGGGCCTAGCATGCTTCGCCCTGGTGGCTCTGTGCCCACTGGGCACATTCTGTTGGAATCTGTGTGGTCACAGTCATGTGACTCCCAGAGGCTCTTGCAGCTGGAGGCCAGACCCCCAGTCTCAGCCAGTCTCCTTCATGGGCACTGTAACACCAGCTTTGCTTCCTAGCTCTGATTTATTAACAGTCTTGCTCTCTGAAGGGCCCTGCCCTGTGACCCCAGGAGCAATATGGGGCCAGTTCTTACCTCTGTTCTTTCCAACCCCGCACCTGGTCCAGGGCCTGGCTGAAAGCAGCTGCCCATAAAGATACTGATGGGGTAACTGAGCCGGTTCGGCCAGCTCATCAACCTTGGGCTCCCTGCGTGTGCCAGCTCCAGGGAATGAGGTGTTCTTGGTACCTTATTTTCTTACTTGCTGCTGTGTGTCTCTGGGTTGGGAGCTTAACCTCTCTGTGCACCAGGCTCCTTCTCAGTAAATGGGGGCCTGCTCATACCTAGGGGTTGGTGTGATGATCCTGCTGTTTCGGGTGATTGTGCCTGGAGGATCATGGGAACGGGGATGAGTGAAACAGGTTCACAGTGTGTTTGGGGACCGCATGTGGGGTCCCATCGGGAACCAGCATCCTCTATGGACTTGTGGTGCCAGTACTGCTTGAGATCAAGTTTGACATACTCTCTTCCATCCTGCACAGTGAGGCTGCCCCCAGCCTCCTCAGAAAGCTTTGCATGTGCCGTCTTAGACAGAGCTTTTCCTGGCCATGCCCTTGGGGGCTCCCTCCCTGGCTCCCCGTGGTGACAGATTAAGACCTTCCGTAGAGTTTGGTTTATGGTCCGCTTGATGTCAGAGCTAGACGTGGACTCAGGCAGCATCGGGTTGGGCTGATTCTTTGCTATAGGGGAGGAAGCCAAGGCCCAGAGAGGGCTAGGGACAGGCTCAAAGTCACACAGCAGGGTAGAGGGCCACAAGGTTTCTGCCTTGAATTCTCCCTGCTTGTCCTGGGACGTTGGCACCTGCACTGGGCCTGGCCCTGTGCTGGGGGCTGTGGAGATCAAAGGAGGCATGTGCTAGAATCCCAAAATGAACCAGTAAGGGCAGTGCCCAAGCAGAGGGACAGATAGCTTGTGTGTTTGTGTGTGTGTGTATGTGTGGTCAGTTCATACACTTGGGAGGGGAGGCAGGGACAGCTTCCTGGAGGAGGAGGAGGCCTGTCACCTGGGCCTTGAAAAATGGGCCAGATGTCACTAGAACACTTTGTCAGGAGCCCAGAGGAAGACATTCAGTTGAAATTCAGAATTCCCCTCCTCTGCCTCCAGCACACCAAATCAGGACTTGCACAAACACCTCTTACTAAATCTGAATTTGCATCTCGGAGGTTTCCAATATAGCCAGGTGCTTTGGGCACCTTCCAAGCACTGCCTGCCACCTCCCTTCCTGCCGCCTGCCTCAGTTTCCCCAGCCCTGGGCTCCGGAAGCCACTGGTGTTCGAGTGCGCCCTCTAGTGGAGGAATCAGACTGTGAACCCTGGGCCCTGGAGCAGGAGTGTCAGGAGGAGGTCCCTGCCTTTACTTGAGATGTGGGGCAGGGGGCCCCGGAACCACTCTGCAAAACACCAGGTTCCTAGGCTGCACCCTGGTGGCAAGAAGCTGGCCCCAGGGTGCAGGAGACCTTCTGTTGTGTGAAGCCTGTGGCTGAACCAGGCACTGAGGAGACTGGGCAGTTGGCTGCAGAGTCCAGGCCTGGGGGCTTCGGCAGGAGGGAGATGCTGGGCCGGTTCCATCCTGGTCCCCATCCCTCACTGCTGCGCGACTTCATATGGGTCCTTCCCCATTTGCCTTTCATTAAACCAGAGGCCCCAAAGTGCCGGAGGTGGTCTCTGAGCCTGATCTTCTTGCTTCTGTGGGTCCTCGAGACCAGAACAGGCCAGAATGAAGGTGTGGATGGTTGCCCAGATCTGGGGGAGCGGACCCCACCCTGACCCTGGCAGCCTCCAGAGGTGTTCAGGTCAGGGCTAGCCAGCACCCCTGGGGCCCCTGCATGTGGGTCTTTCTGCTAGAAGTTCTGATGAATCCCAGGGCAGATCCAGGACAGGGTCAAATGTGTCTTGCTCAGGGCAGATTATGCTCAGAGACAGAAATGGCCTTGGCCATTGGTTTATGTAACAGGCTCACTGCAGGAATTACAATTTTATAACCATAATAGTTCACAAACCAATACCGGATAGACTATGTCTCTTAATAAGTCAATAAGGAAGTAACAGGGGTGGGGGGTATAGCTCACTGGTGGAGTTCCTGCTTAGTGTACATGTAAGATGGTGACATAAATAGCTCCAGCCTCATGGAGCTCTTTGGTGAATGAACTAGTGACCGTGGAGGAAGGCCTCGTCCAACATTACCTAACATCACCTGTGATTGCCAGGAAGCCCCCAGGGACCTGGCCAAGCCCCTCCCTGGCCGTGCCCACTGTGGGCCCAGTCTCCTCTCCTGCCACTGGCCCCTGACCCCTGACCCCACTGCTCATGTGTCCGCAGGGGCCGAGGAGGTGCTGCTGCTGGCCCGGCGGACAGACCTGCGGAGAATCTCGCTGGACACACCGGACTTCACCGACATTGTGCTGCAGGTGGACGACATCCGGCACGCCATTGCCATCGACTACGACCCGCTGGAGGGCTACGTGTACTGGACGGATGACGAGGTGCGTGCCATCCGCAGGGCGTACCTGGACGGGTCAGGGGCGCAGACGCTGGTCAACACTGAGATCAACGACCCCGATGGCATCGCTGTGGACTGGGTGGCCCGCAACCTCTACTGGACGGACACGGGCACCGACCGCATCGAGGTCACACGCCTCAACGGCACCTCTCGCAAGATCCTGGTGTCCGAGGACCTGGACGAGCCCCGTGCCATCGTGCTGCACCCCGTGATGGGGTAAGGCTGGGGTGGGGGGCCTCCCCACCTGGCCGAACAGGAGTGAGGGGCTGGTGGTTCTGGGGCTTTCTCCTGTGTCAGGATGAAGCAGGTGGCTGGGCCCTGCTCTCAGTGCTCTGGGTCAGGAGAACTTGCATTTCTAACAAGCTCCCAAGTGATTTGCTCATCTGGGGACCAGACTTTGAGAAGCTCTGATGCGGAGCTTGGTTACATCTATAGAAAACCCTGGAGGCCTTGGATAAGTCATTTCCCCTGGGCTTCAATCTCCCCACCTATAAGATGGAGCCGTCCACTGGGGTGATTTCTGGGCTCACGGTGGTAACAAGAGTGATGGCCACCGTGCACTTACTACACCTGGGCTGGGTCTCTGCCAAGCCCACTCCACGCAGCAAGCTCCTTTTTCTCCTTCTCTTACCCTGTGGTGTGGGTACAGTTGTACATTGGAGGAAGCTGAAGACCAGAGAGGTTAATGGACTTGCCCAAGGTCACACAGCTGGGAGGCTGAGATTGGACCTGGCAGTGTGGTTCCAACTTTCCTTCTTAGGATTCTCTGAAAACTGGGAGCTTGTCAGTCAGTGGAGGAGCCTCTCTGAGGCCCCCCGCAGCTCAGAGGGTTGTGGCTGAGCGCCTTCCTGTGCATGGGGGGCGTCCCAGCCCCGAGTGTGAGAATCCCAGGAGGTGGGATGGGGTCAGGCCCATGGGTGAGAGAGGAGAGGGTGGCCACTGTGTTCGCTGTGCTTAGGGCCCATCACTGGCAGCTCTCTCTGAAAAGTGCTGAAGCCGCAGCCCAGAGCGACCCTCCCCGCCCCCAGGATCTCACTTTGCTCCCTGGGGCCGCAGAGGGCACGTAGCCCGCTTTGCTTTTTGCACATGGGAGCCCTTCAGCTACTTGAAGGAGAGTCTACTCTGCCTCTTCCTCCCTCTATGCCCTCGGCCCCGCCAGCCCCGGGTCCCTTGGCAGGGCGTCTGCTGTCTTGAGTCCAGGGGCCTCCTGTGGTTAAGCCCCTACTGTTCTGGTGGAGCCCCTGGTCCTGCCCATGGGGCTCGTTGCTCGTCATCCCATCGGCCTATATTCCCCGAGCACCTCCCGTGTGATGGGGGAGGGCGCTGTTCTCAGTCCCGGGGATGCAGCTGGGATAAGACAGATGGACAGTGTCACAGACATGTGCTTCTTCTCCAGCCTCATGTACTGGACAGACTGGGGAGAAAACCCCAAAATCGAGTGCGCCAACCTGGATGGGCAGGAGCGGCATGTCCTGGTGAATACCTCCCTCGGCTGGCCCAACGGCTTGGCTCTGGACCTGCAGGAGGGAAAGCTCTACTGGGGAGATGCCAAGACGGACAAAATCGAGGTGAGTCATCCCAACAGTTTGCGAAGCTGTTCGGTGCAGGTGGCGCAGCCGGGCAGTCCCTGGGCCCTGAGCTTCTCCAGGAGGCCGGGCCTGGCCGCCCCTGCAGCCAGTCCTACGTCTCAGGGGAGCATCAGATGCATGCCCGGCTCTGCTGTTTGGCCGGACAGACTTCCTGAGATACATTTCTGACACACGGAAGGTGTGTGGCTGAGTTAATAGCACTAGGATGCATGTGGTTACGTAGGATGTTGTCACGGTGGGGCTGCACAGGGCACACTGGCACCCTCTGAACTACTGGTGCAACTTCTGGTGAGTCTTAACCTGTTTCAAAATACGAAGTCCCAGTAAAAGAAATAAATAACGCTTACCACCACCCGGCTCAAGACATAAAACATTATCCATGAAGCTGATGCCAGAGGTAACCGCCATCCCCAATTTGGCGATTCGTTCACCTGCATTAAAAGACGTTTTCTTTTACCACGTGGGTGTCACCATGAGCGGTACACAGGCTTGTTCTGCGTGACCTCCCACAATGACAGTGGTGTCCCGTATGTGTTCTTTGGCAACTTGCTTTTTGTGCTCAGGTGTGTTTTGTGAGGTGCTATTGACCACATGGTGGTTAAATTTATCCCTGACGTTCCTGCCTCTCCTCGGCGTGTATGCCTCCCTCAGACACGTTACTCAAACCTTTGGGTCAGGCCACCAGCCCAGGTGCAGAAGTCCCTGCTGGGGTCGCCGGGGATTCTGAGGGTTTCAAGGGGAACAGCTGAGGTCAGGGTCCGCGTTTCCTTTCCTGAGGGCACAGTCAGACTCCAGGTGGGAGGGACGGTCAGGGGAGGTCTCGGCCAGGTTGCCACCTCGACGGGGCGTGCTTTCCGCAGTGGTGATGTCCCTGAGAGTTTATGCCCAAGACAGTGGAACAGCCAGGCCAGATGCTAAGGAGCCTGAGCGTATTTCTTGGGCATGTCTTGCCGAGTTGCCTTTGATGGGAGAAAGTTCAGGGTGGCTGTGCACGTGGCCCGGCCTGGGAGCCAAGCGGAGGTGCCGGCAGGAGGGAGTGCTGCCCGGTAGTGGATGGGCTTTCCCTTTGAAGAGGACATCGCTCAGGCTCCCCAGCTCCTCCTGCCCGTGCCCAGGGAGGGCTTCACGGGGCAGCTGCAGCCAGGCCCCTGACAGACTGGGAGGAGAACCAGGGTCTGGGTGGCACTCATGGCACACAGATGGGGTTTATGGAATTGAGTCCAGACTGCAGGCGGGTCTGCTCCCCCTCCAGGTGGGGCCTCCCGCCGCCCTGTCTGGGACAGCCATCCCGATGGAAGCAGGCAGAGGTGGCAGCCCCTCAGATGATTAGCTTGTTGCCATCGTGACAGGTGGGAGTCAGGGTGGCTCCCAAGGTGGCGTGGGTGTGGGCTCTGGCTGCCCCCTCACTGGCTCGCTCTGGGAGGTGGCCCTGGGCTTCCTCCCCACCCAGTCCCAGGTTGGAGCCGTGTGGGTGGGCGTGGGTGCAGCCCCCACCCTCTCCCTGCACCCCTAGAGCTGCCTCTGTTCCTTGTTTTCCCATCTTGGGCTCGGAGTTCCCTGGGATGCCTCCTAACCCTCTTCCTGAGTCTAGAGCCTGTGGGGCTGAAGTTCCTGCACACTGGTGCTCAGCCCTTCCCGTGACTCCAGCCGCACCCGCAGGACCCTGTCTCTCGCCCTTTGTTTGCACCTTCGCCTCCCACAGCTGGGCTCCCGACCCAAGAGCATGTCCCTTCTTCCTCCGACCTGCCAGAGCTCTTAGGTCTTGTGCCACAAGATTCAGCTTTATTTGTAAAAGTAACCGAGACTCACTGTCTTCCTGAGCTGTCTCTAATTGATGTCCCCTTGGGCCCTGCACTCCCTCCTCTCCCTTTGGCAGTGCTTCTTGGCAGATGCCAGGCCTGTGACAGCCCAGCGTGGGTCCCCCCTAAGCCGTTCCTTCCATCCAGAGCTCTTTCCTGAGCCACGTGCCAGCTGCTCCCGGCCCTTGGAAGCCTGAGTCACCTCCAGCCACCCACTAAGGTCTCATGCATGGGGACAGCTCGCCTCCTCCTTGCAGCCAAGTGCACGGTCTTCACAGCTGTTGGCATCCTGGTTCCTGCCTAAAGACCGAAGCTGCAGGGCCTTCCAGATCCACCTGGGCTTGTACTCTCACTTAGCCCCGGAATTATCATCATCGTCATCATCATCTCACGCGGCTGTGTCTCCCAGAGCAAATGAGAGCTCTCTGAGCTTGAATTGGGGTCTCCATGCTGACCTCCTGGCAGGCAGTCGGGACACCCCAGGCCTGTGTCAGGAGTGACCTCTCCTTCCTTCTCCCTCCCACACACTGTGTAGCTCCCACTTCCCTTGCCAGGCCCTTTCTCTTCCACCCGGATGGGTCGTCTCTGAGCAGAACTTGCGTTACATCATAGCACCGCGCTGCCTCCTTCTTCCCCCAGCTCCTCCCTACCCCTCCACGAGCATCTATTCATTCTGCAGCTTTCTGTGAATGGCGCCTCGTGCTGGAAAAGCAGTAAGGGGCAGACCGTGCCCTGGTCAGGGTCAATGTTCTAGAGGGATGCAGAGGAGAGGGGATGGGGGCTCGGAGGGTGAGCAGGGGTCTTTCAAGTCCCCCCGACAGCACCTCAGCTCTTTTCCGGCCATGTTTGTTCTGTCCCTTTGAAGAGGACATCCTTTCACTGACTTGTGTGTGCTCTGTCTGCTTCCTTCTGTTTCTAGGGGAGAGGGGGAATCATGCCCATTATTACTATTTTTAATGGAGGTACTGGGGGTTGAACCCAGGACCTCGTGCACACTGAGCATGCACTCTACCACTGAGCCATACCCTCCCGCCCCCTACCACGTCCATTATTAATCCTGAAGTAGGCACCCCTGTGCACACACCATGATCAGGCGTGTCCCTGGACATTGGTTACAGCTATTCTGAGTAGGAACAAGGATGGGCCTTGCCCTTTGTGGACTTGCGCTGTCTTTCTAAAGCTTCCTCCGCCTGCTGTTTCCCTCAGGGTTGCTCTGACCCAGGGATGGAATAAGCAGAAGTCTCACAGGCCAACCCACAGTCCAGGCTATTTGGCTTTTGGTTTTTATACTTTGAAATGATCGAAGTTACCCGGGTGACTTTAGCTGCTCTGCTAAAGTTACAGGTGGAGAGACGGAGGGCCATGGGGGTGCAGGGACTTGCCCGTGGGACAGAGCTGGGGTGGTGCCAGCCCCTCCTGGATGACCCACCAGTGTTGTCCTGTGCTATCAGAGGACCAAAATCTTTTCTGCTCAACACATACCCGATCTGTCTTATGTGTTTGCCACCTGCAAAACAGAGGGTTGGTAGCTGTTTTGATGAACTGGAAATACAGTCTGTCTGTAGGAGGCCCATCAAGACGTGTCTTTAATTCCCTGTGTCTCTATCATCTTGGCCTGAGAGCCCGAGACTTTGGATGTTGCATTTTTATCGTCTTCCTTTTAACATAAGCTTCTACAAAATCATCTGTCATCAGAATCACATCTTATCCTGTTTGTCTGAGTGTTTCAGTTGGTTAAGGCACTTCTATGTTTGACAGTATTTTTCTCGTCTGTGGCTTTTGTGGTTGATGCTTTTAATCAGCACTGATGCTTCAGGAAAAAGATCGAGCTTTTACAGCTCAGTGAACGGCCACTCGTGTGTCTGGGGTTGGAAAGCATCTTGGAGCTGTTGGCTCAAGACTTAGCACCAGAAGCGTCCTCAGAGTTCCCCTGGTCCTGACCAAACAAGAAACTAGTCCACAGACAAGCGGGAGGCCTTGCCCAGGGTCTGCAGGGCGTTAGTCGTCCAGCCTTTTGAAGCTCAGCCCCGTACTGAGGCTGTGATCCGGTGCCTCCTTGGGTTGCATCTGGGGCAGACGTTGCTAGTCAGCGTGCCCACCCCGGGTCTGAGCCCCGCACCTTGGTACTCCAGGCGGCCACTGCCAGTAGATCAGCAGTGGTCGGGGAGAGGACACCTGTTTGCCTTGCCTGTTCCAAACCACCCCTAGCACAGCATCCACACCCAGGTGGAGAGGTGGTGGGGAAGAGCCCCTGAGCTGCCCCATCACCAGAAACATCTTTCATTTGGCTGCCCCAATGGGCCATGGTGCCCGGCTTTGTGCGGTGGCCTGGCCAGGTGTGGACAGAGCTGGGCCCATCGTGTTGCAGTCAGCTCAGGCCTGAGGCCTGCTTAAATGGCATCTGCCGTCCTGCAGGTGATCAACATGGATGGGACGAAGAGGCAGACGCTCCTTGAGGACAAGCTCCCGCACATCTTCGGCTTCACGCTGCTGGGGGACTTCATCTATTGGACCGACTGGCAGCGGCGCAGCATCGAGCGCGTGCATAAGGTCAAGGCCAGTCGGGACGTCATCATCGACCAGCTGCCCGACCTGATGGGGCTCAAGGCTGTGAATGTGGCCAAGGCCGTCGGTGAGTCTGGTCAGCTGTGCCCTGGCTCGTGGCTGCCTTGTGGTACACAGGCAGCCCCGTCTGAGGCTGAAGCTGGAGCTGGGGGTGTAAGTGTCCGACTCGGGCTCCCACTCTGGGGCTGTATGGGACAGGAGATGGTAAGAACATCTGGCTAAGGCCAGGCAGCTCTGGGGGGACTTACTGACCAGGTATGATGACTCGGCAGTGGTGACGGACCAGCACTGCTGGAAATAACTGTTCTAATAATGGCTAACGTTTGTTGAGTGCCTGCCATGTGCCAGGCTCTGGCTGGGTGCCTTAGGCCCAGAGTAAACATCTACACTAATTATAGTATCGCCCCATTAACGCCAGGGAGAGGGAGGCCAAGCTCAGGACTCAGGCCTGGGTATCCCTCGACCTCATCGCTGGCCTGGGCTGTGACTGTTGTCCATGGTGACCGGGCTGTACCCTCCAGCCCACACCTTTTATCTGAAAGCCAGGATCCGCACAAAGCTCACTTAACACAGTGACTTGTCTTTTTATGAGTAGGATTCCAAATGCAGGTCGACAAGCTACGTTGGGGAGAGTTGTGTCTAGCTGTGGTGGGGGGACGTATTGGGGAACAGGACTATGGTCCCAGCTGGGGCCCCAACGCCTAGTACAGAACCTGCACATCAGAGGCTCTCAGCAAACCTTTGCTGGAAGGAAGGAGGGAGAGAGGAAGGAAGGACCAGAGACGCCCCAGGGCTTGCCCTCCACGAGTTTACAGTCTTATGGGTGACACCCCAGTGTTAGCTGTGCTGCCAGGTGGGTGACTGTCGTTGAGCCGTTAGAGGGATGCCTGGCTTTAAAATACGAGGGGGGTCATTTGGGGTTAGGGAGCAGGTAGAGGACAGGGTTTGCCGGGCAGCTAAGCAAAGGCCTGGAGGTGAGACTGTGGAAGGACCTGGTGGGTAGCTAGCACATCTCTGTCTCTGGGAGAGGCCTTCAGTCACGACCTGCACTCCTGAGACGAAGATGATGGAATCAACAAACTTAGTTTACCAGTGAAAACAGCTTCGTTATCTACCGTGGTGGTGACCCACCGGTGAGTGAGTGTTTGAAAAACAAAAAAATAAAACCCCAGAGATAAGGAAAACGATGTATCTGTGGGATGTGATTTAAAGTTAAGAAATTGGACCCCTCCCTCCCCACCCCCTTCCTCTCTCTCTCACGTCAGGATTTACTGAGGAAGATGGGGAAAGGATTCCTCGTTTAGCTGAAATCCTTAACACTAAGTTAAAGCCAGTTTTAACAGCGCCCCAGCAGATGAGTGAGATGCACGGGCCGGCCAAAAAGATACGGATGCCGGGTGCCGTCTGCTGTACTGAAAAAGAGGTGCCTTGGCTGTCCTGGGTGAATCCGAGTTTTTGAGGGTGCTGAGAGTGTCGGTGACTCGGGGGGACCGTCTGGGTGGTGTCTCGGGCTGCAGTCCAGTCGGCAGGCTGGGAGTCCAGGCCCGGCCGAGGGGGTGAGGGGGTGTGGGGTGTGCGTCTTGTCCCCAGGTTGCCACGTGGATGGAACGGGGACTCCCTGGGCCCAGAACCAGCCATTCCCTGTACCAGGGGAGTCGCCTGGCCCCTGTCATTCATACCTGCAGCCCGCAGTGGGTGCCGGGCGGAAACGGAGCCGTGCCCGACTGGGCTGGTGGCCCCCGTCTGTGCGGGGCTGCGAGCGCCTAGAGCCTGTCCTCCCGTCCAGGAACCAACCCGTGCGCGGACAGGAACGGGGGCTGCAGCCACCTGTGCTTCTTCACGCCGCGCGCGACCAAGTGTGGCTGCCCCATCGGCCTGGAGCTGCTGAGCGACATGAAGACCTGCATCGTCCCCGAGGCCTTCCTCGTGTTCACCAGCAGGGCCGCCATCCACAGGATCTCCCTGGACACCAGCAACAACGACGTGGCCATCCCGCTCACGGGCGTCAAGGAGGCCTCCGCGCTCGACTTTGACGTGTCCAACAATCACATCTACTGGACGGACGTCAGCCTGAAGGTACGGCGGCCGGGGATGCTCCCAGCACGTCCCCGCCTGTGCTGCCTGCGCCTGGCCAGCCACAGTATTGCCTCGGAGGCTTACAGAAGCTTTTCTTGATTTAAAAAAAATTTGAGGGGAGGATGGTTAGTTAGGTTTGTTTATTCATGTATCTATTTTAATGGAGGCACTGGGGATTGAACCCAGGACCCAGGACCTTGTGCATGCTAAGCACGTGCTCTACCACTGAGCTGTATATACCCTCACCCTCAGTTTTTCTTTATTTTTTATTTTGTAGGGTTTTAAAAACTGAAGTATAGTTGCTTGTACAATATTATATGTTAAAGGTATACAATACAGTGATTCAGGTTTTAAAGGTTATATACTCCGTTTATAGTTATTATAAAATATGAGCTATATTCCTCATGTGGTAAAATATATCCTTATAGCTTATTTTACACTTAATAGTTTGTGTCTCTCAATCTTTTACCCCTGTACTGCTTATTTCCCCTGCCCTCTCCCCACTGGTTGTCCCTAGTTTGCTCTCTACGTAATCTGTGAGTCTGCTACATTTTTGTTTTATTTACTTCTTTGTTGTATTTAGTTTCCACACAGAAGTGATACCATAGAGTCTTTGTCTTCCTCTGCCTGACTTACTTCACTTAGCCGAGTGTCCTTCAAGTCCATCCATGTTGCTGCAATTGGCAAAAGTTCCTTCTTTTTGATGTCTGAATAGTATTCCAGTGTATAAAAAGTTTTTTAAAAAGGAACTATAATACTGGGGGAAGATATAGCTCAAGTGGTAAAGCATATGCCTAGCATGCATGAGATCCTGGGTTCAACCCCCAGTACCTCCTCTTAAAAAAAAGTAATAATAAATAAACCTAATTACCTCCTCCCCCCAAAAGAAAAATAAATTGAAAAAAAGAAGTCCGGTAAAATTGGAGCAGCACTTTAAAAAAACTATAATATTTATTGTAACTTGATTGAAGCCAATAAAATATTAGTGATCCTGTGGTAGTCAGTAAGCATGAATGATTATGGCGAGCAGGTCCAACAGAAACAGTTTAATTATCTGTCTTTTATTCTCCCATTGATACTACATGGTTCTTTATTTTTTTTTCCTGATTTTAAAAGACATAAGGTTCATTGTAGAAAGAGGGAGATAAACAGGAAAAGTATAAAGAAGAAAATAGAAATGTTCTTCTTTACCTCCAACAGCCTGAGCCAACCTTGCTGACATTTCAGTGTATTTCCTTTGAATTTTCCCGTTAGTGTTTCTCATGATTACAGTCACATGCTTCATAGAATTCTGTATCCTGGGCTTTTTCACTTCGCATTGTAACAGGTATTTTGCCAACTTAATACAAACTCTTTAGCATAATTCTTTAAGTGTGTAAAACATTCCACCGCACAGAAATCCTTATCATACTTAACTGTTCCCTTACCTTAAGTGTTTTCCAGTTTTTTCCAGCTTTAAATGATACTGCAGTAACAAACATCTCTGTGTGTAAAGCCTCTCTAGTATTTTTATTCCTTGGATAAAATTTCAGGAGGAAAATTCCTAGATGAAAGGATACAACTGGTTTTAAGGGTCATAATATATGCGTATGTATTTAACATTTATTTGCATTATATAAAGTTTTATATATCACATAAAGTTTATATATGGTATATAAATTGATATATAAACTATATATTATATTAAAATGTATATATTATATAAAATATAATGTATTTATAATTATATACTATTATATAAAATATACTTTTTCATATTTTAATAAAACATGTATATAGCCAATCACTTCTTTTAAAAAGGTTGTATTTTCTGCTTTTCAAATTGTTCATTTAAAAACTCAGATGTTGGAGGAAAAGTTTAAATTGGAAAAGGAAGAAAAAGAGTAAAAACTTGAATGTTGGTGGTTTGGTCCCAAATATGGTCAGCCATTGCCAGGAGGCCAAGGATCTCATGGTTAGACATCTGCAGAAACTCTGGTCTCTAACCGGTGGCCCTTTCCTCCTCACCTGCTCCTAGACCATCAGCCGAGCCTTCATGAACGGGAGCTCTGTGGAGCACGTGATTGAGTTTGGCCTTGACTACCCGGAAGGCATGGCTGTCGACTGGATGGGCAAGAACCTCTACTGGGCGGACACCGGGACCAACAGGATCGAAGTGGCCCGGCTGGACGGCCAGTTCCGGCAGGTCCTCGTGTGGAGGGACTTAGACAATCCGAGATCGCTGGCCCTAGACCCCACCAAAGGGTAAGGGCTATTTTTGTCTGGTACGCATGTCCCTGTCCCCCGTCCACGTCTCTGCACCAGCCAGTGCAGTGATGGCCGTAGACCAGGGCAGGTGACTGGGGCCGGCGGGACCCTTGGAGGTCATCTGGTTCATTTCATAGAGGGGAAACTGGGGCCCAGAGCAGAAGGCAGGAAGGGAAGCCCCTGTATCAGGCACTGCACTGGGCGCTCCAGGTGGGTCATCTCATTTTCGGCATCTGGGCGCTGCAGGGGGTGGGTATCTTTATACCTGATTTTGCAGATGCAGAAACTGAGGCTCAGAGAGGTTAGGTGACTTACTGAGGGTCACTTAACTGGTTGGAGCCGGGCTGGGCTGAGAAGTTCCATCCAGGCTCCTGGCCTGGGCTTCTCCCCTCTGGCTTCTTGAAGGCCCCTTAGCTGAGGTCTAAAATCCATATGCTTTTCTCTGTCGGGCAGCCTGGGGACCCTGCGCTGGGGCCAGAGGGGCCAGGGTGGGGTCTTCCTCTGCACACAGTGCTCACCCCATAAACCATCAGCGATGTCTTTGTAGCACCCCAAACCCTGCCTGTTATGTACTCTGTTAGGGAGGGAAATATTTCTGCATGGCGGAACAGAGAAAGGACCAGTTTTAGTGAAAGGACCAGTGAAACATACATGATTCTAGAATGGGGAGTCCTTCCCTAGAGCCACTGCTCGAGGACAAGGGAGGAGGACCGGCTGGTGGGGGCAGCAGAGCCGAGTTCATATCCTGGTCTTCCATTGCCTCTTTGCCTCTGGGCCTCGTTTTCTTCCTCCTTTGAATAAAGGGACTGTATGCCCCGATTTGCCCACATTCCTCCTGCCGCTCCTCCATCACCCCACATCCTGTCTAGTTTAGTGTTTGTCTCCGACACAAGTGTCCCAGCCTGGATGTCCTGTTACACAGTCCCGGTTTGTGTCTGTGAACGAGAACATCAGCGCTTAGCTTGCAGGGGGGCTGCTGCGGGACTTTCGGAGGCAGGAGGTCGCCGTGACCACTCCTGGGGGAACGCTGGGGTGGTGGGGGCAAGGCCCGTGGAGCCCCCGCTTCATGAACCCTTCAGGAAGTCATCGACATGGCTGTCCGGGGAGGGAAGGGCCGAGACGGGGAGATGGCGGCAGTCGTGTTCCCTGACCTGCCCTTCTCCTGTGGCTTCCAGCTACATTTACTGGACCGAGTGGGGCGGCAAGCCCAGGATCGTGCGGGCCTTCATGGACGGGACCAACTGCATCACGCTGGTGGACAAGGTGGGCCGGGCCAACGACCTGACCATTGACTACGCTGACCAGCGTCTCTACTGGACGGACCTGGACACCAACATGATCGAGTCATCCAACATGCTGGGTGAGGGACGGAGGGGCCTGCGGGGAACGGGCATCCCTGCTGGGGCGACGGCCACCCTCGGCCCCCACTGCACTGTGCCCTTGGCCTGCCAGGCCCAAGCCCACAGGAGGTGTGGACACACCCAGGTGCTGACCCAGCCTCACCCTCTCCGGGGATTGTTCCTTTCTGCCCCTGGTGCCGTTGCTGTAGACGTGTCCCTAGAGGCCCCGATGACAGCTATTTCTTATACACCTACCGAGAGCCAGGCCCCAGCTAACCCTGTGCCAGGATTCTAATTTGACTCTACACCACATAGCATAGCTTTTCATTGATGGAGAAACCGAGGCCCAGGGAAGTCATGGGACCTGCGTAATGTCCCAGGGCACTGCTCACACCCCAGGGACGCTTGCTCCATCTCCATCTGACCCTGAATACCTCCTGGGAGACGGCATCGTTGTGGGACCACTCATAGGCTACACTCAACACCCTGGGACTAGGTTGAAAACAAAAGCTAAAAGAACCTTTGCTCCAAGTCACCCAGCAGTGAAGGCAGGATTTAAGCCTAGAACACGTGACTCTGGACTTGGGGCTTCTGGGGTAGGGAGGTGGTTATACTAAGTCTCTTGGGTGAGGCCAGGTGGTGGGGCCTGTGCAGTTGAGAGAATTCAGCTTCCTTCCTAGTCACTGCTGCTGCCACATGGTTGTACTCATTTTCCAGAGGAGGAAACTGAGGCAGAGGTGGGCTGAGTGGCTTATCCCAGGTACTATGTAGACAGAGCCAGAGCGAGAGCCCCAGTGACTGCCCTGGTTTATGAGGCCAGGAGTAAGGTTTGAATGTGTCTTCAGGGGCCACCCCGGCCCCACAGTGAATTACAAGAGGCCTGTGTGCTCTGCTCCTGGCTGCCTGGTGGGTCATGTGGCCAGACCACAGTTCATTTCACAAGTCCTTTGCCGCTGGTGTTGGAGTGGCATCAGCGCTCCATGGGGACAATGCAATGTCTGCCTCCGCCCTGTTGGGCAGATTTCCCTAGGACTGAGCTGGGGGTGTCACAGATCAGTGTCAGCTTGTGCGCCTGTCCTGGGGCTGCTGTGTCACCTGACCAGAAATCTAATGGCTTCTAACAGCACACATTTAATCTCTCACAGTCTGGACGCCGAAAGTCTCAAATGGGCTAAAATCAAGGTGGCAGCAGAGCTGCCTTCCATCTGGAGGCTCGAGAGGGGAATCCGTTCCCTGGCCTTTTCCATCTTCTAGAGACCTCCTACGTCCTTGACTTGTGGCCACTCTCTCCATCCTCAAAGCCAGGAGTGTTACAAGCATCTACCAACCTCTCTTACGGTCCTGCTCTCTCTTACAAGGACTCTTGTGTTACACTGGGTCTGTCAGGATAATCTGGGCCAATCTGCCCATTTCAGAATCCTTCCTGTAGCCACACTGGCAAAGCCCCTTTTGCCATGAGAGGTAGCACATTCATGAATGCCGGAGGTTTGGGTGTGGACCTCCTGGTGGGGGAGAGGGAACGTTATTCTGCACGTAGCCTTTACCAAGCACTTACTTTGTGCCAGCATTTTGACCCTTCTATGTGCGTGATCTCACTGAATATCACAGTGGTATCACAAACCTCATTGATTGTTTTATCACAATTTATTACATTTAAGTATCCTGGATGCCCCCGAGGGCACTTGTAAGAATACCCATTTTGCAGATGGGGAGACTGAGGTTCAGGGAGCTTAGACAGCTTTCCTGAGGTCACATTCTGATCAGGGGAGGAATTGGGACAGGAGTGTCCAGGCCGACCCCAGAGCCTGGCTCCAATCACTGTGGTAGACTGCTAGGCTGAAGGTTTTATTTGGAATTTTTATTGACACGTACATACAGTCAAGTACAAAAGTCTTCAGTGGACGAGTTGAGGAATTTTCACGCGCAGAGATGTGTGTGTTCACAGAAGGGCAGCCTGCGGAGCTCCCGCGCACATCAAAACAAGGACGCTTCCAGCCCCAGAAGGTTCCCTTACGCGGCCTCTGAGTCAGCCTCCTCAGGGGGCATCGCAGCCCTGACTTCTAGCTACGTGTTCTGGTTGTGCTGTTCTAGAACTTTCTGTCAGTGTGACCATACGGCGTCCGGCTTCTTTCTCTCAGCCTAATGACTGAGAGTCCCCCACATTGTCATTCTTTCTCGTTGCTGCCATTCCCGTCATGTGAAGATCCTGCCCTTTTTCTATCCGTCCGACCACTGATGGACATGTGGGTTGTTGCCGGCTTGTGGCTATTTCGAACAGTTGCTGCTGGGCTCCCTCCTGCCTTTTATCTGGGTGGACGCTGCGTGCATTTCCCTTGTACTTTAGGAGGGGCATTGCCTGCCCCCGGGGTAAGTGCGCACCCAGCCTCAGTGGACCCTGCTGATTTCCTGAAGTGGTCACACACTTTGTGAACCTGACGCAGGTTGCCAGGCTGCAGGTCGAACTGGGTCACCCAAAGGGCCGCCCCGGGCTGTGCTGTTGCTGACGCCACACCCACGTGTCTCCACGTAGGTCAGGAGCGGGTCGTGATTGCCGACGACCTCCCGCACCCCTTTGGCCTGACTCAGTACAGCGATTACATCTACTGGACAGACTGGAACCTGCACAGCATCGAGCGGGCCGATAAGACCAGTGGCCGGAACCGCACCCTCATCCAGGGCCACCTGGACTTCGTGATGGACATCCTGGTGTTCCACTCGTCTCGCCAGGACGGCCTCAACGACTGCATGCACAACAATGGGCAGTGTGGGCAGCTATGCCTCGCCGTCCCCAGCGGCCACCGCTGCAGCTGCGCCTCTCACTACACCCTGGACCCCAGCAGCCGCAACTGCAGCCGTAAGTGCCTCACTCTCTCCCCACACCTCCCTCCTGCATTAGCTGTGGTGGATAAGGGAGAAAGAAGCTTTCTATCTGGGGATACCTTGGTGCACATGGGCAGTTGGGCAGGTTGTGCACTGCACATGTTGCATAATGTTACCTGGAGGCTCGGGCTGGGTGGAAGACCTGTTGCTTCATCAAGACACAAGCAGTGGGCCAAGCCCTCAGCTAGCACGTTCCTTGGGGGCCTCTCTGGATGTGAAAAACAGTCTCTGCGGGGAGCACTCACTTCTGGAGCCAGGCACTGTTCCTTGTGCTTTTGATAGCACTTAATCCTCCAGCCTAGAGGGTCGGGAGTATCACTGTCCTCGTTTCACAGACAAGGACCCTGGGCACAGAGAATTGTAGTGACCCTCCCAAGGCCACACAGCTGGGAAGATTTGAACCAGGTTTGAATCCAGGCAGTCTGGCCCTAGAATCCCCACCCTTGACCCCTTGCTGTGTGGCCTCACGTCCACTTGCGTAACCCTCACACTGACCCTCTAAATCACATAGGCCTTTTTGTTTTCATTTCAATAATAAGAAAAGTGTAGTTCAGAAGCCTGAGAGTGACTTTCCCACGGGCCCGCAGGAAGAACAGGTGTGTCCTGTTGGCAGGATTTTCTCCTGTGACCTCAGCAGAGAGCTGGTTATAACCCAACCTCTGCGCAGCGCTAGGCAGTTTATTGAGCTCCCTGTCATCGGGGCCTTGTCTGAGCCTCTCACGTCCCTGGGCATTAGGAGGACTGGGCACCGTTAGCCCAATTGTGTGGCTGAGGGACCTGAGGCCTCGGAGGGTTAAGGGGCTCATTTGCGGCCCCATGCTGGTATGTGACAGGCCTGGGGCCACAGCCTAGGACTCCTTACCCTTGGGCTCCCTTTGGTCCTGTTGGCCTTGCCCTGGGGGTTGTAACCTTGAAGGGTCAGGCAGAGATGCAGGTCACCTACCACCCAGAAGTGATGTGACTTGGGTGCCAGCTCCTGCGGCCAGCAGACCCGGGGCCATGACTTGGATTCATATGGCCCAACTGTGACTCCAGCAGTGGCTGCAGCTGGTGTCTTCACACATCCTGGGTGGTGCAGAGTCTGAACCTAGGCAGCTTTGCTCCCTGATGGCTCTGAGGAGCATCCCCAACACCCGGGGCCCCTGTTCACTTCGTGCGGTTCTCAGCAGTTCCTTGGAGCACCTAGAAGCACACAGCAAATCCCACAGCCACTCAAGCATTGCACACACTTGTGGGTGGGAGTGTGGTGTGCAACGCCATTACCTCCTTGTGTTTTAAGTCTTGATAATCTAAAACAAAATGGACATTTTGGTTTTTTTTTTTCAGAGGAGGGACTGGAAATTGAACCCAGGACCTCATGCATGCTGAGCATGCGCGCTACCACTTGAGCTATACCCTCCCCCGACATCTAGTTTTTTTAACTGAAACATTGTGTTGTGTATTTTTAGCAAAGTGATTCAATTATACATACATACATATATATATTCCTTTCCATGTTCTTTTTCGTTATAGGCTATTACAAGGTGTTGGATATAGTTCCCTGTGCTCTACAATAGGGCCTTGTCATTTGTCTGTTTTATATATAGTAGTTAATATTTACAAAGCCCAAACCCCCAATTTATCCCTCTCCATTCTGTTTCCCTGCTGGTAACCGTAAGTTTGTTTTCTGTGTCTGTGAGTCCTTTTCTGTTTTGTAAAATAAGTTTATTTGTATCCTTTTGTTTTTTTAGATTCCACACATAAGTGATATCATAGGTATTTTCCTTTCTGTGGACGTCTAGTTTTAGAATAACACATGCACTTATAAAATATTGAAGCAATAGGGACACGTGTCACATAGAGAATGCAGTTGCCCGTAGTCCACCCCACAGAACAGCTTAATGTCTTCCCAACGTTTTTCCATGTGCACCTAGTAGGTACACCCCAATCTACTTTTTACCGTAAAATAGAGTGCCGCCCTCCCTGCCCACGCACCCCTTGGCCCCCAGACACTGACTTGCAGCCCCCTCCTCTGTTTGCCTCACTCCAGCGCCCACCACCTTCTTGCTGTTCAGCCAGAAATGTGCCATCAGCCGGATGATCCCGGATGACCAGCACAGCCCAGACCTTGTCCTGCCCCTGCATGGGCTGAGGAACGTCAAGGCCATCGACTATGACCCACTGGACAAGTTCATCTACTGGGTCGATGGGCGCCAGAACATCAAACGAGCCAAGGACGATGGGACCCAGGCAAGTGTGCCTGTCGGGGGCGCGGGGGCTCGGGGGGGCACTTCCAGGAGGAGCTCGCCCTGGCTGTTTCCAGGCTCCCCTTGCCTTAGTAGATGGGGTGCTGACAGCACAGTTTTGGGTAAACGATGATTTGGGCTCTGATTCTGTCATCGGCGGGTGTAAGCCTGAGCACTTTGCCTCCCTTGGAGTGTGATTATATGCGGAAACTGGAACGGATAGTTGTTTAAGTAGTGGCGGTGGATGTCAGACCCCATGGGATTTTTTTCCTTTCTACAGTGGTTTTGTGCAGGGTTAGTTGCTATTGGTTATTCTAGATTTATCTTTTATTTCACTTGAGTTGTAGAGTCAGTTCTGCTATAATGCAATGTACATGTTTCTGAAAATCACAGTGCTGTGCAACATCACACAGTACAGACCATGAGGCTGGTGGGAGAAGGGGGGCTCAGCGTGCAGCACTCAAAACCCCATCGGTGACACACTGAAAAAAAAGAGAGGAACCGGGCGATACAGGGGCGCCTTTCTGCAAGTGTTAAATGGTTTGGTACACAAACGCTTCAGTGGATGTGGTGCTTGATCTTGAAAAGATCTGAGGTTGGCCGAGGACGTGGGGCTTGGAAGGTTGCAGCTTGTGGGTTTTTACGGAACAGGGACAGGAGGACTGTCTGAGACAGGACGTAATGTAACTCCAGTGTGGATGGCGTGGCTCCTGACCGGCGTGAGCTGGGGGCCGTCGGGGGCGTGCGCGGCCGTGTGCCCTTGCCCGCACCGTGCTGGGTGCGTGCTCTGCACTTGCCTGGTGGTTCTCTCGGGTGCAACTGTGCATCAGCAAACACGAAATCCGCGGTCTGCTCAAATTGTCCCTGAGGCAGCCCTGTATTGGAAAAAATATGTGTTTTCCGAACGTGAGTTCTAGCAGAACTGACTGCTTTTCTGTGTTAGGTTTTTGTGACCCTTTCCAGAAAGGAGATTGAGACTGCAGCCTCGAGGTGCACCTGGGGTACCCACCCGTGTGGCAGGGAACAGTGATCAGAATTCCATTAGTACAGAATTTGAGGACACGCCTGGCTGGTCATGCCAGTTTCTAAAGACTCCTTTTACAAAGGCTGCAGGACCCAAATGTCTCTTTCTCAATCCAGTGATCAGTGTAACAGCTTATATCATCACGGTGAATTCTTGATCCTGTTACAACAGAGATTCAGAGGAATGCTCGTTGGTGGAGATTTTCTTCTATAACGTAGCTGTTGCTGTTCCCTAACCTGAACTGGGCGCTAGTGCCGCCTGTATAGCTGGGCCTCACTTTGGACAGAGCCCTTCATCCAGCAACGACATAAAGTTAACAAGCCATCCTTCGGCTTCCGTGTCCCTGGGTGATAGTAAAAGTCTCAGCTATGCCTGGGTGGCCACGATCGTCCTCTCTGTGGGAGCAGAGCTGCCAGGTGGAAAGGGTGGAAATGAGTTTCTTTCATCCCACCCACAGCGCAGGTGACAGTCACTTCCACTCCTCTGGAGAATGGGAAGTGATAATTGATGAACCGTGGCTTCCCCTCTGAGAAAATGGCTGGGCGCAAATTGCCTTCTAAGTCTCCCGGAGAGGCGTTTTTTGCATTCTTTTATAGCATCTGGCAAAAGAGGGAGGAAGACTTTGAAGAAAAAGCCCTTGTAGGAGCACTTAATTTGGAAAACGTTCGTTTCCCTCCCTGCTAAGCTCCATCCCTTGGTGGCTTTGATTGGGGGCCCCACCCCAGCCTCAAGGGTAATGTTCTTAATTATTATCTCCTTGGTTGTTTTTTCCTATTTAATTTTTTTATTCTTTTATTGTGGTAAATATACATAAAACTTAACCATTTTAAACATTTGAAAGTGTACAGCTCAGTGGCATCAAGTACTTTCCTATTGTTGTGTGTCCATCATCACCCTCCATCTCCAGATGAAACTCTGTCCCCATTAAATACTAACTCTCCGCTGCAGCTCAGTGGTAGAGGGCGTGCTTAGCATGCATGCAGTCCTGGGTTCAATCCCCAGTACCTCCATTAAGATAAATAAGTGAACCTTATTGCTGCCCTCCAGTTTAAAAAAGAAAACTTAAAAAAACCCCATCTCCATTCCCTGCCCCCCCAGTCCCTGGCACCCATCGCCCTCCTTTCTGTTTCTCTGAATTTGACAGCTCTTAAGTGCTTCATGTAAGCAGAACTGCACAGTATTTGTCTTTCTGTCACTGGCTTACTTCACTTAGCACAGTGTCCTCACGGTTCATCCACATCATAGCAGGCATCAGAATTTTCATCCTCTTCAAGGCTGGAGAGCGGTCCATTGTCTGTACAGAGTATGTTTTGCTTATCCGTCCATCCGTCAGTGGCCACCTGAGTTGCGCCCGCCTGGGGGCTGCTGTGAGTGTGCTACTGCAGACTCTCGCACTTGGTCGAGTACCACTCTGTACTGGTGAGGGGGAGGGGTGTTGTGATGCCGAGTAGGATTCTGCTCAGAAATTTCACACTGGCTGGAGCACTGTGACTTAGGTTAAAATGGGGCTGGGGTTCTGTAAAGCTGGCCAGCCGTGTAGTTTGCGTCCTCGTTTTCGTCCGCCTGGGGAGGGATGCTGGCAGTGTGTCGTTACATGTGCCCCGCCCTCAGCTGGTGGTTCTGGGGACTGTGTGCCCGGCTCCCACATAACCACCCAACATCAGGAGACTGACTCTGGCCCCGGCTGGCTGGAATCCTCTCCAGCTGGGTCCGAGAGGCTGGGCCTGGGAAAGGGGGCTTCTTTTTGGCTGCAAAGCCCCTCTTGCCTGCCTTCTTGTTTTATTAATCACTGGAAGGTGGTAGAGAAAGAGTCTGCAAGGAACTGTGATCAGAGCATCATCTTGAGATGATTCCCTTCTCAGACGAAGGAACCTTTTATCCAAACATTTGGTGGCAGCAGCCCAGGTGTTTGGGAAGCCCCTTTGCGCCAGGTCAGGTCACCCGAGAACCTGAGAGAACCAGATCCACCAGGGGATCAGGCTGTGGCCTGTGAGGGAGATGAGGGAACCTGGGCTCCCTCCTCCTGCATCCGTTCATGAAACAGGGTCCCCTTTGAAGGGATTCTCTGTCGGTGGCTCTGAAAGCCAGGGCTCACCTGGAGACATTGCGAGCAGCACGGAGCCAGGCCAGTCTCTCTAGGGAGGCTGTGGGGTGGAGACCCGCAGGGAGTGTGGGAGGGAGAACAGGCACTGGGAGGTACGCGGGCTCCGGTGCTGCCAGGGTGTGCTGCGGGGCAGCCCTGCACCCTCACCTGGCCTTGTACCCCTGGCCTCTCTCCCTCAGGGAAGAGGGCTGTGAGAGGTGGACCTCTGTCCTGGACACCTATTATCCTGACACCCTGAATTTAAAAGACAATAAGACTTGGTAGGAGGGGTATAGGTCATTGGTAGAGCTTGTGTTTAGCATGCACGAGGTCCTGGGTTCAATCCCCAGTATCCTCATTAAAAAAAAAAAAGCAAACAGTAAGATTTGAGGGTCTTAATCCAAATGCCTGAGTCCAAGGAAACAAGAAGAGAGAAAGTGTCCTGAGAGGAGACTGTGATCCTGGGCTGACTGTCCAGCCATCAGGTAGTCCTTCTGGATGTGCGGGACCAGGACGGCCAGTCTGTGTGGGGCTGCTGACAGCCAGGTGCGGTGCATTCCCTGATACCTGGGCCTGAATCTGAGTTACTGGGTGGGAGCTCTCTGGAGGCTGTTGAAAGAATCAGTTTCACTCTCAGGTGGACTTGTGGGTGAGCTGGTTTGAAAGGAAGGTACTTCAAGCAGGGCTGGGATTTTGACTTTTGGTCTGAACTCGGGCACTCAGGCCTCTGCCCTCGCTGAGTCTGCAGCCGGCACTCATTCCTGACTGTTTTTACAGCCCTTCGTTTTGACCTCTCCAAGCCAAAGCCAAAACCCAGACAGGCAGCCTCACGATCTCAGCATCGACGTCTACAGCCGGACGCTGTTCTGGACGTGCGAGGCCACCAACACCATCAACGTTCACCGGCTGAACGGGGACGCCATGGGCGTGGTGCTCCGCGGGGACCGCGACAAGCCAAGGGCCATCGTCGTCAATGCTGAGCGAGGGTGCGGGCCCACAGGGGCGGCGGGCACCGCGGGGTGGGGTGCTGCACTGGCTGGGGTGTGCCAGGCGTCCCTCCCATGGATGCCAGCTTCTCGGGCTGGGAGGGGTCTTCTCATCCAGCGGGAGCTCCCCCGGGGCCCCCGCCACCACAGCTGGAGCAGGGCGAGGAAACACCAACTCATTGCTGGTCAGGGAAGCAGAGGCGCCCAGGAGTGGACTTAACTGAAAGCCAGTGCAGGTGTGAGGGCTCTGCTGAGGGACACAGGCAGGATGGAGTCCTGATTCATAGGTTTCGTACCGTCCCATCGGACCCGAGCCCTATACAGCCGTCCCTCCCGCGGCATCCCAGGTGGTGGCGGGTCATGTCGGTTGAGTGTTCTGCCATGGAGAGGTCACTGCCTAACCGGGAGCTTCTTCCTCCCGTGGAGCTCCCTGATGCTCACACAGTCAGCCCTCAGGTTCTCTGGAAGGTGGGAGAGCGCCTGGGATACGTTGACAGACATGGAGGGTCTCAAAGGGAAAGAAAGACCAGAGCGGGAGGGGGCCCCAAAGCCACATGACATGAGGTGTGGCAGTAAAGCAAATCACCTGAAGGTCAGGGGGCAGGAGGCGGGAGCACGGTGCCACCTCAGGTCCCCGCAAGGCTGGCATTCAAGGCGGGAATCAGACCCGTCGAGGCGCTGTGTGCCGGAGCTCATGCGTGGGACGGCTGGGCAGACCCGAGTTCACATCCTGACTCCATCCCTTACTGCCTGTGTGGCCTCAGGTGGGCAGCCTCCCTTCTCAGGGATTCCTTTCCCTCGTGAGGACCGCAGGCGTATCAGCCCTGCAGCACACGAGGGCTCAGTTATGTAAGGGGTTTTCAGGAACCAGAGGAGGAGGCCTGTACTAGTCCCTGGGGCCACCGCCACCAGTGACCACAAACTGAGGGCTTTAAACAGTGGATGTTTATCGTCTCGCAGTTCCAGGGGCCAAAGTCAAGGGTGGGCACAGCTGTGCTCCCTCCGGAGGCTCTAGGAAGGATCCTGCCTGCCTCTCAGCTTCTGGCCCCAGGGGTTCTTTGACTCATGCCACACCCCTTCACTCTGCCTTCACCTTCACATTGGCTCCTTCTCTGGGCTGTGTGGCCTCTTCTCTTTCTTCTGAGGCCGCTCTCATTGGTTTAAGACCCACCCCAACCCAGGTGGCCTCATCTTGATTACACCTGCAAAGACCTTCTTTCCCAGTGAGGTCCATTCCGAGGCCTCAGGTAGATAGGAGGTCTTGGGGGACACTCTCCAGCCCCTCCAGGGCACGGCCTTTCAGCTTTGGGGGCTAGTCCTTAGAGGCCAGGGCTGCGTGACTGATCACTTTCCAAAGCCCCGCTGGGTGCCCGGGGTCTGGTCTCTCTGGTGTTTTGCAAGCTCGGTCCTGGCTGGGGAGGTGGCAGGACACAGCACCTGTCCTTCACCTGCTGCCCTCCCGCAGGTACCTGTACTTCACCAACATGCAGGACCGAGCTGCCAAAATCGAGCGTGCAGCCCTGGACGGCACCGAGCGTGAGGTCCTCTTCACCACAGGCCTCATCCGCCCTGTGGCCCTTGTGGTGGACAACATGCTGGGCAAGCTCTTCTGGGTGGACGCGGACCTGAAGCGCATCGAAAGTTGTGACCTGTCAGGTACGCGCCCTGGGGCCTCCCTGGGGTTCAGTCCCTCGGCTGCTGCCAGGTCTGACCTGCCAGGATGCCCGGACTTCCTTGTCATCAGTCATGGCGTTGCAGCCGCCCCATCTGTTGGAGACCTACTGCGAGCGGGCACTGTGCTGGGGCTTTACCGCACAGAGTCCCCCGCTATGTTCCAGGCAGTAGGTCCCAGATGATCCCTATGTGGCAGAGGCAGCCGAGGCTCAGAGAGGGTGTGCTAGCTGCCCAGGGTCCCCCAGCGTGGGGCAGAGCAGGAGTCTGACGCCTCCACCTCCAGCACACACTCTCCCAGCTGCTTTGGCTGCCTTAGTTCGGGAGGCCCCTGGGCTGGAGAGGGGTGAGAGTCATTGCTTAGAGGGGCTTTTCTTCCAGAAGATGGGGTGGCCTGGGGCAAGGGAGCCACTGCAGGGGCCCATGGCTGGGGCTATGGCTCTGGTCCTGAGGCCAGCCTGGTGGAAGCAGGACTGTCTGAGGGCTGGTCTCAGATCTTCCTGATTCCAGCCCCCAGCCCTGGCCAGAGCCCTGAGTCCCCCAGGCTCCCTGGCAGCCTTCCATTCTCCCAAGTTGAGCGTGGGCCGAGCTCCTGGGGTCAGCCACACTCAGGGAGTCCTCGTCCCTCCTGGCAGGGGCCAACCGCCTGACCCTGGAGGACGCCAACATCGTGCAGCCTGTGGGCCTGACGGTGCTGGGCAGGCACCTGTACTGGATTGACCGCCAGCAGCAGATGATCGAGCGCGTGGAGAAGACAATGGGGGCCGAGCGGACGCGAGTCCAGGGCCGTGTCGCCCACTTGACCGGCATTCACGCCGTGGAGGATGTCAGCCTGGAGGAGTTCTGTACGTAGGGGGTGGGCAGTGGGCAGCAGTGTGTGCAGGGTCGGCAAGGGGAGGGTGTCTGCACAGAGCACAGCGACCCCTTGGAGAAAGACAGGAGGGTGGGCTGACGTGAGAGATGGAGGACTGAGGCCTGTTTTCTTCCTGGCTGTTGGTCAGGTCCACTCTTGGCTCCCAGAGACCACCCTCAGGTCCTCACCCTGTTCTCCCCTCCATCAGCAATAGATCAAACTTCTCTGGAGTGCTCTTCTTCCAGCTGGAACCCACTCTGCTTTCCAAGGGCCTGCGATTAGATTCTGCCCACCTTTAGATTAGTCTGCCTTTTGATTGACTCCAAGCCAACTGATTAGTAACCTTAATTACATCTGTAATTCCCTTCTGCTGAGTACAGTAACAAAACCACAAGCATGATGGCTCATCACATCCTCCCCAGCTGGGAAGTAGGGTGGGAAATTTGGGGGGCATTTTAAGATTCTGCTTACTACAGCCTGGCTGTGCCCAGAGGACTGGGAGGGGGATGCCTGCAACTGGAACTGCATGTTATTTCACAGTAGCTCTGTTTTATAGCTGAGGGAAGTTGGTCCCAGAAAGGGTATTATTTTCCCCCTCACCCAGCCAATAAACAAGATAGGGGTTGGATTTGAAGCCAGAGCCCACATTTTGGCCACTGGACTTTTTTCTATTGGGCTCCCTGCTCAGAACCAGGGGCAGGACCTCTGACACTATGAATTGGCCACTTGTGTGATGGCTGCTAGGTGGCAGTTTCTGTCCTTGTGTGTCCTCAACTGGGGCCTGGATAAGGCAGTCACCAGTCAGCTAGCTTCTGGATAACAGAGGCACCCCATGCATGTGAGTAAGAATGCCTATGTTTACCTGGCCTTTTGCAACACTGTCAGCAAAGCCTTGGGTTCCTGGTTGTCCCAGCAGAAGGGCAGAATGGTGGGCGCTGAGCCTCTGAATATTGAGACCTTCTCCCTGCTGGTACTGGCAGAAAGCCAGGTGCACTGACCGGCAGCTCCTTGGAACTAGGGGACAGCAGGGGCAGGAAATGTTCAGTGAGCAGGTGTGAGGTTGGAAACTGGGACGTGTCCGTGAGCGCTAACGTGCAGGGCCTAGGTGGACACTAGAGGCTCCTGGTTTCGGGTGAGGGCAGGAAATCCTTGGGTGAGCTCTGCTGTGTTTATCTGGGATGTGGGTCACCCAGCCTGCTCCCCTACAAGATCCCACAGCTGAACTCTAAACCCAGGTGACACCCTGCAGCCCGTGGGTCATGGCCGCCACTGTGTCATCCTGGCTGCCTTTGCACTGAGGTGGCCGACTTGCCGAGTCCTGACAGGTGGCCTGGCCCATGAAGTCAAGATTATTTCTTCCTAACTCTGTCATTTTAAAACTACCTAATCCTTGAGGTTGAGGAGAGGCAACTGTCATGTGTCCTTGGGGACAGGGCGAGGAGCAGAGGGCTTTCTGCCATTCCTCTCACCTGAGGGAGGTCACCCACCCTTCCTGGTCCTTCCCGCTGCCCAGGCGTTGGGCACGTGAGGTTAGTTGAATTGAAATATCCGAGTTGCCCAGGGCTCAGCACCCTTGTTACTTTAATGCCCACATGTGTAAGTTTCCTGCAGCTGCTGTAACAGATTACCACAAGCTGGGTGACTTAGAGCAACAGAATTGTATCCTCTCACAGTTCTGGAGGCCAGAAGTCTGAAGTCAGGGTGTCGGCAGGGCTGTGCTCCCTCGGGAGGCTGGGGCCGGGCAGGGAGAGGGGTGGTTCTTTGCCCCGCCCACTTCCTGTGATTGCAGGCGCTCCTTGTGACTGTGATGGCCTCTGACATCACCTTTTATGTCACCTCATAAGGACATTTGTCAGTAGATTTAGGGCCCACCCAGATAATTCAGAATGACTGACCTCATCTCATGATCCTTCATGTGATTACATTTGTAAAGACCCTTTTCCCAAGTAAAGTCACAGATTCCAGGTAGGATGTGGGCGTATCTTTTTGGGGGCCACCACTCAGCCCTCTACACCATGAGAGACAGACACACAGGGGCAGCTTGCTGTAACGGCTGTGGGCGCAGCAACAGCTGCTGTAGGTGGGCTGGGGTGTGATGCCGGGAAGGTTCTATAAATGCTTTTGGCCTCCGTCTCCTCATCTGCAAAATGCAGTGTCAGTAGAAACAGACTCCATAGGCCGCCCTGAGAATTAAGTGGGAGGATCCACTACACTCCTATAAGAGGGCCAGTTCTTGTGCATTCTTGCCTGGCCCTCATCCCCTCCACCCTCTAGGCTGCAGTCCTGAGGTAGGAGACAGAACCCAAACCCCTCCCCCTTTTCTCTCCACAGCAGCCCATCCTTGTGCCCGGGATAATGGTGGCTGTTCCCATATCTGCATTGCCAAGGGTGATGGGACGCCACGGTGCTCGTGCCCAGTCCACCTCGTGCTCCTGCAGAACCTGTTGACCTGTGGCGGTAGGTGTGACCTCAGCACTTTCTGTTGGGACACTGACCAGGGACCTGATTCTCTGCCTGCCATGTTGCTGTCTGGCATCCTATTAATACGTAGTCCCTGTGGCTTCTAGTCTCCAAAGCAGACTGTCTCTTTATTTGTCCTCTTTTCTAATATGGGTCCTTCAGGGCTATGAATTTCCCTCTAAGCACTGCTTTTGCTGCAGTCCACAAGTTTTGATAAATTGTATTTTCATTTTCAGTTAGTTCAAATATTTTAAGATTTCTCTTGAGATAATTTTTTGGTGTTTGTGTTATTTAGAAGTATGTTGTGTAATTTCCAAATAGGTGGGGATTTTCCAGCCATCTTTCTGTTACCGATTTCTAATTTAATTCCATCCTTGTCTGATTTGAGCCCATGCTTTGTATGATTTGTATCTTTTTAACTTTGTTCAGGTATGTTTTATGGTCCAGCATGTGGTCTACCTTGGTGAATATTCCATGTGAGCTTGAGAAGAATGTGTCCTCTTTTGTTGGTGGGTGGAGTGTTCTGTAAATGTCAGCTAGGTCCAGTTGACAGATGTGCTGTTCAGGTTGTCTGTATCCTTCCTGACTGTCTGCTTGTGCCATTGGTTACTCACAGAGGTGTTAACGTCTCCAGTAGTGGATTTGTCTATTCATAGTTCTGTCTTTTCCCCTCCTTCTACCCTGGAGCCTCTTCTTCCCTAAGGCTGCATTAGGAGTGGTCAAGAATGTAAGCTTTAGGGTCAAAGAGACCTGGGTTCAAATCCCAGCTTAACCACGTCCCAGCTGAGTGACCTTGGGCTAGTCATTTGCCTCTCTGAGCCTCGACTTCCTTCGCTATGAAATAGGGAAATCGAGAGCACTTACCTGATGGGTTGTTATTAAGTAACAGAGTACTCTGCGTGGTCCCTAATGGGAGTGCCAGCTGCTTTTAGTCATGGGGATGGCAGTCATAACAAAAAGCGATCATTGTCATCATCACCATGATGAAGCCCAGCCCCCGGCGCGTCCTCTCCTCTCCCCGGCCCCCAGGTGGTCTTGGATCCTGTTGTTTCTGTGCTCTCTTCTCCCCTCCTCCTGTACCTTTCCTTCTCATCCTCACTCCCATGACCCCCACGCCGTGTCCCACCCCCTGGCGGATGCTCAGCACATGCCCATCAGCGCATGACACCTGTTCTCAGCCGTTCTTCCTGCCCCTGGAGTGGCCAGTGCCCAGGAGCCCAGGGAGCAGGACTGTGAGCCTGTCCTTCTGGAACTTTCTCCAGCCCCACCTCACACTGTGAACCCAGGGAGCTTGGCCACAAACAGAGGGGATGTTTCATAACTGTCCTCTGGTGGGGGCCGCCTGGACCTTCCTGCGCTTCCTGGTGGCTTTTTTATGAGTTCCAGCCAGAGGGCTCCTATGGCTTCATGGCCCGAGAGTGGCTGTGCAGCCCCCACAGACACCCCCACTGCCCTGGAGAAGAGGAGGCTGCACAAAGCGCTCAGCTGTCCCACAGACCCCAGCCCTGGGCCTCCCCACAGGAGGGCATGCCCTTCTGTCACCTGCCCTCCCAGGCTCTGACCCTCAGACTTGCGGCTGCCAGGCCCTTTCTCACAGCCCAAGAGGCCTGTACCTACTGTCCCCGTCTCCATTCTTCCCTGGCCTCTGCTCCCCAGAAGGATAAGGGCTCACTGAGGCTCCCGGGAGGTGACACGGACCCTCGTACCTCATGCAGGGACAGGAGCCAGACGGGCGGGGGGCAGCCTGAGATGCTTCAGCATCTCAGCAGCACCACTGCCAGTTCTGTGTGAGCCTCACCAAGGTGTACACATGCACGTGGACACATGCGCACGCGCGCACTTTCCCTGCTGCTCCGTTGGTCCTGTGAGGAGCCTGCGATGGAGGGAGGCTGCTTCTGTTTTAGGGAAGAGGAAGTGGAGGCTCTGGGAGGTTGGGGGTTCCTCAGGCTGCACAGCTGCTGGGGGAGCCTGGGTTCAACCCCAGGTCTGTACAACCCACCTCTCCTGTCCTCACTCTCCAGGACTGGGGCCTGCGGAAAATCAGAGCATGGGAGGCCGGGCAGTTGAAAGAACAAAGGCCCAGGGCCCCTGGGGCTGGAATTGCAGAGTAGGGCGTGGGCCGCCGTCCACACACACCTTTCCGTGGCCAGTGTCCACGTGTTCTTTGTTGGTGGCTCAGTGCGCACACATCCATCACTGGCTCCTGTGAGGCACTGTGGGTGTCAGAGCTCCTTTGTCCCTGGCGTGGCCTCTGGGGCTGAGCCCAGTGGGAACAGCCAGCCCTCTTTTCATTTTTACTCACATCTCCTTGCCCACCCACACCCCCCTTCAGCCCAGTGGGATCCTGGGAGTTATGGGCTCCAGATACTGAAAGGCGTAGTGCACAGGGAAATCGATACTTCTGTGAAGTCCATACTTTTTTCCTTAATTGGGTTCAAGGGCGTGGAGGACTGTCCTTAAACATTAAAACGAAGTCTGAGTGGGTTTCTGGGCCACGGTTAGTGTTCTGTGACCTTCCATGCGGGGGAGAGATGATGACAGGACCCCTGGGCAGTACGGGCAGCCTGGGGCCGAGGGGCTCCTCCTGTGTCTCTCTGCCCACATCCCGGCCCCCGGGACAGTGCTGTTCACTGAGCGATGCTGCGCGTCTGGCCTCCACCTGGCCTGCGCTGGGGAAGCTGACCTCGAGGGGTGGAGTGATGTGCCATGGCTACCTGGTAGAAGGTGGCCCCAGATCTCCTGTCCTTCGCCCTCCCAGCTCACCACCCTCACAGGACTCCTTCCTCCAGGGAGCTTTGGAACCCTGCCCCTCCCCCTCTGCTCCCCCTGTGGTATCCTCACCGCCTGCTTTCCCCAGCTCACTCCTCAGCAAGGTGCCTGGTCTGCTACCAGCAACCCCCACAGCGTTCCTGTGGGTGTGCTGGCCATCCACAGAGTGCTGGCTCCACTGCTCCAGCTGTCCCTAATGTGTCACAGTGTGGGTGCTGACCACTCGCTCTCTGACCCTCCTACTTCCGATGAGGGTGCAGTGGACACTGGTGTAGCCAGGCCAGGTACACAGTCCCTGTGCTTTGGATTGACAGCTTTGTCACATGCTGGGAGCTGGAGGTGGGACAGCAGACAGGATGCACAGCACTGTGGGTACACGCTCTCCTCCTCCCACTGTACATGTTTCTCCTGGTGAATTGAGTGTGTCTCTTGTTTTGAAACCCAGATGTGCTTTGCCCAGCTTTTGCCTGGCCAGGCCGGCCTGTGATGGTTTTTCTCTCATCCTCAGAACCTCCCACGTGCTCCCCCGACCAGTTCGCGTGTGCTACTGGGGAGATTGACTGCATCCCTGGGGCCTGGCGCTGCGACGGCTTCCCAGAGTGTGACGACCAGAGTGACGAGGAGGGCTGCCCGGTGTGCTCGGCCGCCCAGTTCCCCTGTGCGCGGGGCCAGTGCGTGGACCTGCGGCTGCGATGTGATGGCGAGGCCGACTGCCAGGACCGCTCGGATGAGGCGGACTGCGATGGTGAGGCCCCGCCCTCGGCGCCTCCCCAGCCACACCCTTCCCTGCCCAGGCCCCGCTCCAGTGTGGCCCCGCCCCGCCCCTAGGCTCCCAGGTCTTCTAGGGAGCACAGCAATTCCCACAAGACACTTGCTCGTCGCCCCTGGAGCTTAGGCTCCATCTGGCTGCACACAGTTAGGGTCGCTGTAGAACCTTTGCCTGGAGTGAAATTGCCAGGCCTCCTCAGCTTGGGAGGGAAAAATGTTAGTTTTAGGCCCCTGAGGACCCCTGCCATCTGCCCACCAAGCAATTTGGCTTGAAGGTGGACTGTGAGAATCTATTTTGCCTTCCCTCACTCAGTCAAGAATTTTACAGAAATCCAGTAGTCAGATGGATTTTCCTGGTTTACACCCTGGGTAATCGCCATATCCAAAGGGAAGTCTGTGGGATAATGCTCACTCCTGGGTGGTTTCCAGCATCCCGTTGAACCAGGAGTTGCAAAAAGATTTACTTAGTCGATCTGGGTCCACTCTGACCTGCCGGATTTCCCTTTAGACCATGACTGTTGAAACATGTATCTCTGTTCCCTCTCTGGATTTTCCTTTTGTAAATGACCTATTCAGTTGGTTCCTGTGACATATTATCAGCACCACGGCCCCATGACTAACACTGAGCTGTTAATGGGTGGTTCTAGCTGCCACCCCCTTACCCACAGGGTCCTGCTCTTGGATAATTCAGATGTTTATTTATCACTGTCCACTGACCCTGTTTGTGATGAGCAGCCTTGTTTAGGGGTCATTTCCCCAGATATTTCTGTAAAGCTGCAGTCATTAAGTCTTTCCAGCTCACAGACCCTTTGAGAATTTGATGGAGACTGTAGACCAGGGATTAGCACAGTGCGGCCTGACGGCCAAATCCAGACTACCACCTATTTTGATAAAGTTTTATTGGGACACAGCCAGGCTCATTCATTTACATATTGTCTGTGGCTGATCTTGCCTTCAAACAGCAGAGTTGAGTAGTTACAATAGAGACTTTTGGTCCTTAAGGTCTAAATGCTTACTCTCTGGCTCTTTACAGAAAAGTTTGCTGAGCCCAGATAGGAACCACCCCCTCCTCCTCCCACTGTGAATGTTTCTCCTGGTGAAAGGAAGCATCTGGAGGCCAGCAGGCCCTTGTGCAGGCTCTGGGCTCCACCCTCCTCTCCTGCAGATCTTCCCACCCACGGCAAGGACAGGGTTCCTTATCTCTAGTTTCCAGAGCGAGGTGCCTGGGGCAGAGCAGCAGGGAGCTTAGACAGCAAGTATTGGGGGCCAGGTGATGGCTGAGCCCCACCCACCTGGCCACAGCCTTTCTCATGGCCTATGGCCCCGTGCAGGTCAGCATTCCAGAGCAGGGAGGCAGAGGCAGCTGTCAGTACCCAGTCTTCCTCCTCCTCCTCCTCTCAAAGGCCGTGAGCTACACCGGTTACTTAGCGGGGCTGTCTTTGCCTTCCC